AAACGTGGCTCTAATAATGTACTCCTAGATCTATGAAAGATCTAAGATCATAGAATATTTCAGTATTCACATTTTTGAGTATATAAATATAGATGTATATAAATAAATAATTTATAAATGAATAATTTTGTAAGTAATAAGTCTAAATATTATATACATATATATATAATATTTAGACTTTTTAAAACTATATGTTAAAAGATATTTATTTTTATATACTACTTTCAAGCACTAGTGAAAAACTATCATTAAGCAGGACGCGCCAATCCTAAAATGAAGAAGAAATAAATTTTCTTTTGACTGTATACTCTAATATCTTGAATAAAAAAGGTATGGTATATTATATATTCACATATTTTATCATACATTGTTAGAAATTAAGTATATTTTAAAATTTTTATATGTTGTTTAATTCTTAAGAAAAAAATCTGTTCTCTTTTCAGGATTTCCCTGATGAAATAAATGATTCGAGCAATACACATTGTAACAGAATACATATATATATAAATATATATTTATTATTGACCAATTTACAAATCTTATTTTGTTATAGAACAAATTGTCATATTTTTACATTGTGTAAAATCTGTATTATTAATTGCTGATGATTCATTTAAAATATTTTCAGATGCAAGCAAAATAATTGCGTTATAAATAATTTAAATATGTGTTTAATTGCCACAATTTCTTTTTATTTCTACTTACCCTGTAAAATATGACTCTTTGTAAGAATAGTCATCCAATTTGTCAATGAATATGTAAAGAAAATTTAAGAAGAGGAAACCTATAAAACGCTTTAAAAATGGGCGCATTCAGTGGACACAACTGTTGTGTGAATACTCAAAAATGTGAATACTGAAATATTCTATGATCTCAGATCTTTCATAGATCTAGGAGTACATTATTAGAGCCACGTTTGAAAATCTTACATTGCACTGTGTATTGACTACTTTGTTTGATATTATATATTATTACAGTAGCTTATATTATTTTAGGAATAATTGGAATTACATGGAATTACATAAAATAATAGGTGCAAAGTACAATTTTAGCTTACGCTTTATTTGGTTTTCATAGTATAATGTACATCATAATACATATCGTTGCACAAACAAAAATTTAGCCCCCTATTCTGTAAGCCTTAACGATGTCGTTATATATCATTGCGCAGCTATTATATGATACCAAAAACCTGCGAAGTGATATATAACGACATCATTAAAAGTTATAGAATATAGGGCTTAGTCTCTTAAATAAGAATATGCAAGAGAGATATTACTTTTTTATTATATATTATCTTTTTTTTCTATACTAAAAAAGATGAAAATTGCACAACGGCATCAAAATTTATTATAATAAGTACGAAAACATATACTTTACACATTCGTATAGGAATTGCGTTTTCTGCATTTTATTTAACATTAACGTTAGTTTTATATAAACTAATGTAGAGACTCTTAATATGAAGTTTCTTCTGTTATATGTAGCAGAAATAAATGGCGTTTTCCCTTGGGACTGCACTCGTGTAGTGTTTCCATAAGAGCAATGTTAAAATTAGCACGAAGACAGTGCAGAT